TTTTATTTTTAAATTATTTTTATTTTTATATTGTCTTTTTATTTTAAAATTATTTTTATAATTTTATTTTATTTTATTTTTAAATAACATATATAAAATATTATATATAAAATATATTAAAAAATAAAAAATATAAAATTATAAAAATATTTATTTTCTTTTCATTTTAAAATTTAGTTAGTTAGTTAGTTAGTTAGTTAGTTAGTTAGTTAGTTAGTTATTTTTTTCATCCATTGAGGGTGAGCTCAGGCACACCTCCCAGCCCTGCACCGGGCAGAATTCACCTTTTGGGAATGCAATGTGGGAATGACCCCAGAGCTCCCCCGAGGGCTGAGTTTCACAGGCACAGGATCCCAGAGGCAATTAACAGCTTTCCTTCACTCCGGAGTCATTTATCTGCTCGTGGCCCCACAAACCTCAGCCACGGGGCCAGAACAAATAAAGACATAAATATTTTAGATTTGAAATAAAGAAATAAATATTATTAATATTTATTAATGAATAAAGAAGTGCCTTGCGGTAAAATGGGAGTCACAGCCCGGTGCTTTCTGTGCTGAGCACATTCAGGATTTCCTTTTTCCCCAGAACTGCTCCGCTGGCATTTTCCTGGCAGGGCTGGGCATTTTACAGCCCCGTCAAATGAATCAGCCCCAGGAACTGATCCTGAGTCACCTCCCTGATTTATTCATCGCCTGCCTTGGAGTTTCAGGCTGGGAAAGGGGCAGGAAAAAAGAGGGGAAAGCTGAAAAATTCACATTTTCTGCTGGGTTTTCAAAGGAACTGGGGAAACGAGCAGCATCTAAAATAGCATAAAATAAATAACATCTAAATTCTCTGTGTTATTGAGCACAGAATGTCACAGCGGCTCAGGCAGCTCCTGCAAAGAGCAAAGCAAAAGCAGCTCTGGAATTTGGGAAATCATCCCTGATGCACACACCGAGTTTTTAAACTCATACAATTAATTATTTTGGTTTGGAATTCTATTGTTTTTCCCCTTGCTGGATTAATATCTGGTGTTTTCAGCCTCTTTTACACAAGATTCAGTTATTTTTAGCTGTTTTTTAGCTATTTTTAGCTACTTTTAAGCTATTTTTAGCTGTTTTAAAGCTATTTTTACCTAATTTTAGCCAATTTTATCTATTTTTGTCAATTTTTCTTCCTGGGCAGCAGGCTTTGAAATTATTTATTTTAATTCCATGGCATCAGGAACTGATTTATCAGGGAGACCCATGGCTAGCAAGTCAGATAAGCCAAATTTTTGTCTTGTGTCTCTGTAAAATTTCATAGAAGTTTCCCAGCAAAAGGAGCCACAAAAGTGGAATATGTTGATTGCAATTAATGATTAATTGGGGCATTTCAGGTACCTGCCCTCAGCTGACAGAGCACTCTCAGGTGGCACAGAAAGAGAGCTGCCAGATCTCAAGAATTTAGTTTTTCAATGTCAAAACAATGGTGAATGTTTTTCACATTCTAGTGCACAGCAAGTGGACTAAAAATGCCTTTTTTTAGCACATAAACATGCTCAGGAGCACTGCTACTGCACAAAAAACAGAGAGAGAGGGAGGGAAAGTCATATTTAACTTACATTTAAATTATTCTGTCAACAGAGGTCGTAAGTTTTTTAAAAGCACAATAAGAAATTTCCATATTTTTAGTGTTTTAATCTGTTCAGTCCAACTCTGTTTTCCTTCCCAAGCTCTTCTCTCTCCCGCTTTGACAAAAATGCAGTGGCTTTCATCAGGCTGTTGTGTTTTCCCAGCTGAATTCCCTCCCCAGGTATCTCGGAGCAGTTTTGGCTCTGCTGCAGGTTTGTGTTTGCACGGCTCACATCACGCGAGGAGGAGCTGTGCAAACGCTGAAATCATTTTTTTACGCTTCTGCGGAAAGGCTGGGCAGGGATTCTGGGACAACGCCAAGGCACCTGGGGTGGCTTTTGCAGGAATTGCCCGCAATGAACTCCCAGGGCACTCAGGGCCCCAAAAAGTGCAGCTCATCTTGAGCCCCCCAAAAAACCCAAACACACCCTGGGGCTCTGTGGGGTCATTTTCACCCCCAGAGCGACAACCCCCATCAATCCGGGCTGTGAAAGTGGCACATTCTCCTTTTATTTTCCTTATTTTCCTCTTTCCTTATTTTTTTTCCCTGCTTTTTATTGCTCTTCTTGCTTGTCCTTTCTGGGGGATCACGACCATAATGTTGTTTTTTGGGGGAATCAGATGGGCACAGGACTTCTGGCACTTGGGGCTGGATTTGTGTTAAAAAAACCCAAAACAAGCCTGTTGTTCTGAGATAATCCTGGAAAGCCAGCTGAGTCACAATTTAAATTTAAACAAATGAGGATGGAGGCCAAAGAGAGCCCAGAATTTACCAAATCCCATGGACAACACATTGGAAGTGACTGCAAGTGGTTTATTTTCACTCAGGCTTTGCAGTTGTGTTTTTACAACGGGAATGTTTCATAGATAGATAGATTAAAATATTTTTTTTAAATAGAAAAATAAAATATAATATAAAAATATTTTAAAATAGTCTATATTATTGTAATATACATTATATATTATTATATAATAATATGTAGTATATATTATCTAAATAGATTATATAGTATTACTTATTGCCATTTATTATTTATTGCTTCTTATATTTGTATATATATTTATATTTATATTTGCATCGATATTTGCATTGATATTTATATTTATATTTAAAGATAAAATATCAATTTTATCTCTGCAGCTCTCCTTCTAAGGGAGGAGGTGATGTGGGGGGTTAAACCCCAAAGTTTATTTATTCAGCGAGGAATGCAGCTGAGGTTTTTGGGTTTAAACAGACAAGAGGAAATAAATAAAATAAATAAATTGTGCTGTGGGGAAGGAAAAGGAGCTGTGGTGCTGGCATGGCCCCGTGAGCAGGGAAATGCCACCGGGATGGATTCCCAGAGCTCAGCAAACAGCGGCTTGGCCCCGAGGAGCCGCCGCTTCTGGAGAACTTTCGGAGAACTTTAGGAGGAGTTTATCAGCCCCGGGATCGCGGCAGGGTGAGCAACGATTCCACGGAAAGGTCACGGAGCTCTGCCGGGCTGGGACACAACGCCCTGCCCGCCCTGAGGCCCAGGCCACCCCAGGGTGTAAAATCCCTTTTCCCAGCCCCAGGACAGCCGAAGGAGCCAGGATTCCTCGGCTCTGCTCTCCAAGATTGTTGATTTTCTCTTAGCTTTTCCCTTTTCTTTTTCCCTGACCCGCTGAGCTCCGTCTGGCAGGTCCACACCAACCACCATGGGGTCAACATTTTATACTAAAAACTACTTTATTTACAATACCTTTCCAATCCCTATCAGTTTACAATAACTTTCCAATACCTATCAGTTTACAATAACTTTCCAATACCTATCAGTTTACGATAACTTTCCAATACCCATCAGTTTACAATACCTTTCCAATCCCTATCAGTTTACAATAACTTTCCAATCCCTATCAGTTTACAATGACTTTCCAATACCCATCAGTTTACAATAACTTTCCAATACCTATCAGTTTACAATAACTTTCCAATACCCATCAGTTTACAATAACTTTCCAATACCTATCACAGCCTGTCTCCGAACCAACCCAAAAGTGCCACCACCACACAGAAGATGGAGGACAAAAAGAAACAGGAGGAAGGACAGGGAACACCCAAATCCCTCCATCTTTCCTCCTGAACCCCCATTCTAAAAACCCCAAAATTCTACTTTTTCACCCTGAGACAAATTAACCGTCATCCCACTTAAACTCTCGTGGCGTGTAAATCCTCACACAAAGGTGGCAATTTTCTCCAGGGGTTAAAATTGAAGGCAGAGGTGTCTGACTTTGTGCCAGGGTCTCTGAGCCCCCTGCCAGGCTCGAGGCATCCAGGGCAGCCCCAGGGATGTCCTGGGTTCTGACACTGCTTCCTAGAGCCTCTCTGCAGGCGGATTGTTCTTAATTAAAATTCATCATTTCACTGATTTCAATGATTTCATCACAGTCTCATCACAGCTACAAAAAAACCCCAAACCTTTTAGTCCTACAGGACCTCCAGGTAAGGAGCAGAAAGACTGGATCCTGCAGTGGTTTTATTTATTTTTTTTTAATTTTTTAAAATTAAATACTGAAAGATTATGAATTATGTCTCACTCAGACTAGGAAAAATACCTCTTTAGCTGTTCAGGGCATCAGAATCAGAGGAAATGACCCAAATCCCATTGGAATTCACTTCAACACTGCCACTTCTCCAAGTTATTCACCTTGTGCAACGCAGCTCTTGGAGCTTAACACTTCAGGAAACCCCATAACACAAAAATAACCTTTTTTTTTTTTTTTCACAAGGAACAAATGCAAAGGGTTCATTAAAAACATTCCCCAAAGATGCTGAGTACTTAACACTGGATCCTGCAGTGGAAATCTCCCATTTTCCTCCACAGGAGACACGTGAGGGGCTGCTGGATCAGATTTTTTTATTTTATTTTTTTGTTTTGTTTTGTTTTGTTTTGTTTTAGTTTCTGTAAAAGTAGAATTGCTCCCTATGTAGCAACCAGGGAAGTTTCACAGAAACCAGCAAACTCGCAACCAGAAGTGAAAATTAAATGAGAGTGAGTCTGGGAAGAAATAATTAAAAATAAAAAATGATCAATTCTCTCCTCTGGGTAAGGAGCAGAAAGAGCTGCTGGAGGGAGCTCAGAATGAGGTTTTGAGCAGGCTGTGCTTCTCATTTTGGACTCTAAAACGTAAAATGCTTCAAGTCTCAGGGTTTGGGAGGCTGGAAATATTTTTGGCCTCGGCGTGGAGCTTTGAAGGCAGGTCGGTGTGTGTTCCCCTGCCTCTAGCACCCAATTAGCTGCAAATGCCTTTCTAGAAATAATTGAGGAGGATTCAAAAACGGGTTACTCAGCAGCACCAAAGGGACCCGGGGGTTTCGTCTGAAACGAAGCAAACCCGAATATTTCTCTGAGAGAAAATTCAGGTTTTTTTCCCCTACAGATGTTTATTTCAGCTCTTTGTTCAACACTCTGTTTCATCCTCGTGATGTGGGATTTCCTGGTTGGTTTATAATGAAAATAAAGAGCTGGATCTGACCCTTCAATCCCACAAATGGAAGCTGAGCTAACCCAGCAGTTCTTCCTTAATTGTCCCCAAATGAATAAAAAGTTCGGTGGGAACAGATGGGAGTTAAAATGCAAACAGAAAGAAGGATGGGCAGTGATGGGGGGGACAGAGAGAAATATTCAGAGAGGAAAAATATCCATAAAACCTGGGACAAAAAGGGAAAAAGAAAAGACCAGAGATTATTGAAACATGAGGGAACGCTTTGGAAGGAGGTGGATGAGTTATGCAACTCCTCATGAGAGTAACATATAATATGTATTTTTAATGAAATACTGAAAGTTTACGAATTATTTTGTTTCAGAGGAAATACAAAAGAGAATTCTTTAGCTGTTCAGGGCATCAGAATCAGAGGAAATGACCCAAATCCCATTGGAATTCACTTCAACACTGCCACTTCTCCAAGTTATTCACCTTGTGCAACGCAGCTCTTGGAGCTTAACACTTCAGGAAACCCCATAACACAAAAATAACCTTTTTTTTTTTTTTTCACAAGGAACAAATGCAAAGGGTTCATTAAAAACATTCCCCAAAGATGCTGAGTACTTAACACTGGATCCTGCAGTGGAAATCTCCCATTTTCCTCCACAGGAGACACGTGAGGGGCTGCTGGATCAGTTTTGGTTTTTGGTTTTAGTTTCTGTAAAAGTAGAATTGCTCCCTATGTAGCAACCAGGGAAGTTTCATAGAAACCAGCAAACTCGCAACCAGAAGTGAAAATTAAATGAGAGTAAGTCTGGGAAGAAATAATTAAAAATAAAAATTTGATCTAGTTTGTAGTGATTCTACTGAATAACTTGGTTTTCAGGATCAGTTCAGCTCCTTGTTATGCTCCAAACTTTAAAAAACTTGATCCTTCAAAAGCTGTTGTTATAGATTTCAATTTTATAAAGGTAAAATCTCTGTTAGATCTGTGAGAAAGGAGCTCATTCAAAACACTTTGTCCCAGACTTCACCTACAATGGGTGCAAACTTCTGATTGCATCAATAAAAAGCTTGATTTTTGTTGAAGACACATGCTCAGCACGATGTTTCACTTTGGAAGGACTTCACCTTGAGACTGCCTTAAAGTGTGACCACTCCAGCCTTGGCCAAATTCAGAGCCAGACTGCAGGAAATATTAAATATTTTTCATATTTAGGCTCTGAAATCCCAGAGCTCGTGTTTAAAATGACTGAGATTTTCAGTCTGTCTGAACATTGAATTTGGAGTGTAGAGACTAATTTCAGGCTGAAACCCCCAAGACTTGGCCCTGGGTGGTCAAAATCTTTTTCTTGGGTTAAACACCTGCCTGAAAAATCATCAGAGCTTCAGACTGACCTCAGACCTGAGCAGAGAAGCACAAATCTGTGAGAAAATGAAGATCTAATTCTTCCTGGAGCACCTAACACTGAACTCCTGCTGCAACCTGCACTGAGGATTTCCCTCACTTATCAGTTTGCTCCTTAATTCTGGGTCCAGGTGAGATCTTTCCAGCAGTCAGTTCAAGACATAACATAAAATATTCTGTATTTTGGTGTTTGTTGTTCTCCTGCAGCAGGTGAGAGCTCTCAGCATTTCCCTGGAAGGCAACAAAGCAGAAAATCTCAGCTCAGCCCCAGCTCCTGCTAAAGCAGGAATTTATCCCCTCGTTTTCTGGCTGGCTTTGGCTGAGGAAGGAGGTTTGCAAGGAAAATGATGAAATCCAAAGGCTGGGATGAGGTGCTGAGCACCTTTTCCATCAGCTCCACGCCGTGGAGGTTTGAACTCGATGATTTTGGGGTTTTCCCCACCCCAAATTCTGTGGGATGGCAGAGCAGGGACTGGATTGAGCCGCCCCATGCCAGCTGCTGAGCCACACAAACCCCCAGCTACCCGAACTCCACTTCCTACCCCAAAATACCTTTGAGAAGGACATCGAGGAGGTCTGAGGATGACAAGGAGCAAAGTCCAGGGAAGTCACCTGCAGCTGGGGGAGCGGGGATTCCTCTGGGAGCATCCAGCAGGCTGCAGCTCTGGGCAGGTGAAGAGACCAGAACAGTCAATTTCCAGTTGAACTGGGCTGAAATTATTTTTCTTTCTCTGCTGGGTTCTGGGAGAATCTCAGTGACTTGAAATGGGGCTTTAAATCTGTATTTCTAACTGAAATCTTGTTACATTATTACATTTATTACATTTATTACATGTACTCTGGTGGGAACTCTTATCTAACCAAGGCAAAAAAGGCTATTATTACGTTTATTACACGTACTGTGGTGGGAACTCTTATCTAACCAAGGCAAAAAAGACCCTGGAAAAGACAGAAGAGCTGTAACTTTTTTTTCCTTTCGTTTTAAGCACTGAATATTTGCTTAATCCTGAAAATTAATCTTGGAATGAGACACTGCCTGGGTAAATGAGCCATAGTTACCTCCTGAGGAACATCCTGTGCCTGGGGTTTATGGCTCTGAAGCAAACACATGAGCTCTGTGTTCTCCTCGAGCTTTAGGCAGGGGGTGGAGGCTGGACACGAATTCAGCACCTGCAGATGACAGCAAATCCTGTGGTTGCACAAGGACAGGAACACCTAAGCCAGGCTAGAGACCTGCTGGGCTTGGTCCTCACCGGCAGCCGGGGCTGTGCTCCCATCTGGAGCAGGCAGAGAATTCCCTCCAGGATCTGGGCTCTCCGCAGCCCCAGGAGCCTCCCGGTGCTGCTGTCCCTGGCCGTGCCCTGGCATTGTGTCACCAGCACGGTGTGGGCAAGAGCAGCACGGTGCAGGGGGGTCAGACCTGCGTGGGACACCGGGGAAAGTCAAATCCAGGGCCTGAGCCCTGCCTGGAGCAAATCTGTGTTGTGAGATTTGGGTGAGATTTGGGATCTAAGCCCTGGGCTTGAGCTGTCCCTCTTACCACAGTGGTCAGGCAGATCCACTTCCACACACACCCCGCTGTTCTTGCAGCTTTTCAGGACCTGGAATGGAGAATATCCGGGTGATTCCTGCCCTTTGGCAGTGCCAAAACCACCCTTCCCTCCCCCAAATCCCTCTGTAACCACATCAGAGCAGACAGAGTGCTCCTGTATGGAACACCCCGGGTTCTTTCAAACACCACAACGTGCTTGAGCTGCTTTTACCCCACTTTGGCCCCCCAAAAAACCCCCAATTTTACCTCGAGAACTCTCAGATAGCCATTCTCTGCACACAGGTGGAGGGGAGTTTTCCCAGAGCTGTCCTGCTCGTTGACGTTGGCTCCCAGGGAGATCAGGTCACTCACCATCAGGTGCTGGTTCTTTTCTGCAGCAAGATGTAAAGCAGTCTGAGAAGGGAAGAAGGGCACAGAGTTGCAGTGAAAGGCAAAAACAGCTTAAAAGCAACAACATTTTTTAGATACTGAAGTGGGGAGTTGGGATTTCGGGGCTCTGTTCCCATCATTCCATCCCCATTCCCATTTTCCCTTCTTTTCCAGGACAGCAGAAGGATGCTTGCTGCCTGGCTGGGGTTTGACAGAGTGATAAAAAATGACTTTTTTTCTTGGAAAATCAGCCTCCTACCCTTTTCTCTGCATCCTTCTCGTCGATCTTGTTGAGGGATGCAAATCTCTGGGCCAGGGCAAAAGTCAGAGCCCTCCTTCCCTGGGCAACAGCCTTGTGCAGCAGCCTGGAAGAGAACTCAGTTGGGAACAATCAGAAGGGAAAGGAGGGGTAAAAACACCCAAAAGAGGGGCAAAACCACCCCAAAGGAGGGGGCAAAAACACCCCAAAGGAGGGGGCAAAAACACCCCAAAGGAGGGGGTAAAAACACCCCAAAAGAACAGGGAGAGTGCATTTTAAAAGATAAAAATATATAAAGATATAATATAATATAATAATAGGATAAATATATATATAATAATATCATACATATATATATAATATAATACAATACAGTAATTACAATAAGATATAACAAAGATATCATATAAAAACATATAATATAGAAAGATATAAAAGATATAACAGGTTAAAACACCCCAAAGGAGGGGTTGAAACACCCCAAAGGAACAGGGAGAGTGCATTCTAAAAGATAAAAAAGAGCTAAAGATATAATATGTGATAGGATAAATTTATAATATATAATAGTATTATATATATTATATATATAATACATATAGTATAATATAGTAATAGTAATAAGATATAATATAATAAGATATAATATAAAATAATAAGATATAATATAATATAGATATAATATAAAAAGATATAAAAGATATAACAGGTGAAAACACCCCAAAGGTACAGGGAGAGTAGAAATTTCTTAATTCTGATCCATTTCATTCATGCATGAGAAATTTTTGTGTATCATTTAAAAAATGGCAGGAAATACATAAAAAGTTGGCTTATTTGTTATTTACTGAGTCATATAACTGCTGAAAAGTGAAGTTTGATTTTATTCTTGCACTGGAAATCAGAATTCTGAACGGAACGTGGCACTTTAGGGACGAGGCCAGTGCTGTGCTTGGCTCTCCCGGTGTGGGGTTATCAATATTTTCAATTTGGGACAGGAATTTATCTCTTTCTCCCCAAGACAATTCATAAATCATGCCAAGCTTTCTGTCAATCTGATTTGATTCCAGCTATCCCAATCTACCTAAACTGCACAGAGCCTAATTAGATAATTTATTTTTTTTCTTATAAATAACTCTTTTCTCCACAAGCCCCCATTCCAGGGCAATACTGGTTTTTACTGGGAGCAGGAAAAGCTTTGTGTTCCTTTCATCTCCAGCCACTCCCAGTTCCTTGGGAGTCTGTGCTCCAGTTTGTGTTTTTGGCTATTCCTCCCATCCATTTTTATTAGCAGTTCATAATACAAATAATTACCCTGAGAGTGTCTGCAGCGTGGAAAAAATACAAATAATTAATTATAAATTATTGAATATATAATTATTCATAATACAAATAATTGTTCATAATACAAATAATTACCCTGAGAGTGTCTGCAGCGTGGAAAAATATCTTTTTTTGCATCTTTTTTTTTCCCACTACTTATTTTGCTTGATTTTAATTTTCTTGTAAATCCCTACAAATACCTTCATCCTTAAATATTTTAACACCCTGAATTTATTCTGATATCAGCTATAGCTCAGGAACATTACTGCAAATATGGAGTATTTATATTTTTTATATCTGCCTAAAATTCTGTGTATTGATTCAATTTGAGCTTCCCCTTGAGCAGAGAAGCTTTAGATCAGAGGTCAGAGCAAAGTGATGTCCCCAGGGACAGAAATCAAAGTATTTAGACAGAAAAATCAAGGACCTGTTGCCATTTTCGTCAGGAGCCAGCAGTTTTTCCTCTGGGATGTTCCTCAGCAGATTTTCCTCCCTGTGCAGCTGGAACTGGAAGAAGGAGAGGGCAGAGAGGTCCTGCCTGGAGAAGGAATTTGGGCTCAGCCTCAAATGTCCCCCCACATCTGCAGAGCCCCTGGGAGCTTCCAGCAGCATCTCTGCCAAGCTGGGGAGTGCGGGCGAGTCCTGGGGTGCAGAATTCCCTGGGAAACCTTCCTGGGGTGCAGAATTCCTCAGGAAACCTTCCTGGGGTGCAGAATTCCTCAGGAGCCATCCCTGGGGTGGCGAATTCCCTGGGAAACCTTCCTGGGATGGAGAATTGCTCAGGAAACATTCCTGGGATGGAGAGTTCCTCAAGAAATATCCTTGGGGTGCAGAATTCCTCAGGAGACATTCCTGGGATGGAGAGTTCCTTGAGAAACCTTCCTGGGATGCAGAATCTCTCAGGAAACATTCCTGGGGTGGAGAATTCCTCAGAAAACCTTCCTGGGATGGAGACTTCCTCAGGAAACATTCCTGGGATGGGGATTTCCTCGAGAAACCTTCCTGGGGTGGAGAATTCCTCAGAAAACCTTCCTGGGATGCAGAATCTCTCAGGAAATATTCCTGGGATGGAGAATTCCTCAGGAGACATTCCTGGGATGGAGAATTCCTCAGAAAACCTTCCTGGGATGCAGAATCTCTCAGGAAACATTCCTGGGATGGAGAGTTCCTCAGGAGACATTCCTGGGATGCAGAATCTCTCAGGAAACATTCTTATTCCTCAGAAAATCTTCCTGGGATGGAGAATTCCTCAGGAAACATTCCTGGGATGGAGAATTCCTCGAGAAACCTTCCTGGGATGGAGAATTCCTCAGAAAACCTTCCTGGGATGCAGAATCTCTCAGGAAACATTCTTGGGATGCTGAATCTCTCAGGAAACCTTCCTGGGACGGAGAATTCCTCAGAAAACCTTCCTGAGATGGGGAATTCCTCGAGAAACCTTCCTGGGAGCTGGGGAGATCACCCTGCACCCACCAGCTGCTCCCTTTCCCGCCCGTCCTGGAGAACATTCCGGGCGAGCCGCACCTCTGGGCGCTCTCCCGCTGGCCACGGAGGGCAGGCTGAGCCTGTCCCCGCAGCACTGGGTGGCGATGTCCCCCCCAGGGCTGGGGGTGAAGCTCTGCGGGGCCCGGCTGCCTCCCCTGCAGGCCCCCATCCCTGCTCCCCGCGCCTTCCCAGCGGCAGCCCTGCAGCTCCCTGGAGAATCCCTGCCAGAACCCGTCTGGCACGGGATGCCGGGGCTCCTCCCCGAGCTGGCTCTTGCTCAGATCCTCCTGCAGCACCTCCACCAGGATGTCGAGGTCCTCCAAGCCTCTGGGGCTTTGCCCGGCGCTCTGCTTGCTCTGGAACAGCAACAGAAGGCGGGCAGGGAGGAAGAAAAGGGAGGGAAGCAGGCATGAAGTGTCCTGTTCTCCCTGGGTGATAGAACAGGAATTCTGCCCCGGGAGGCTGGCACGGCGGGGCTCGGGGTGCTCTGCATACCTGTCTAAGCTGTTTCTCTGTATAAGGGTGAGATCTCCTCTTCTCTGCTGGAAACAAAAGGGAAGGAAAGGTTCAGAGCTGAGGGAGAGGCGCGCAGAGCGGAGATTCCCATCAGCCCTGCCCCAAAAAAGAGCCAGACAAGGCAGGCAGGGTGCTGGTGCACAGCTGGCCGCCCCCTGGGATGGAAGGGACCCAGCAGGGACCACGGCCACGGCACAGGAGTGCCCTGGCTCCTTGGGTACCTCACAGTGATGATCCTCCTAGGGAAGGAGGCTCTGTTACCCAGTGAGGCGTTTCCAAACCTGTTTTTCCTGAGGATCCTTTGGCTACCATCTTCACTGATGAGGCTTCCTGAGGAGACAAAACCAGCCAGCTTCAACGTGAGATGCTCACACAGGGAGGAGGAGATGAAAAAGTGGCAGATATTTTAACATGAACAGGGTGCAGCTGCCTCCTGGGCCATGGAGGGGCTGCAGGTGGAGAGATTTCCATGAGTGGGTAATTCATGGCAGCTTTATAAAGATTTTACAGCAGCCTGGGAGTTTATCAGCTCCTCGGGCTGTTTTTTGCAGGTTCTGGAGCAGTATTTTTTACTGTTTATTGGCCCATTTTTGCCTTGGTACAGCACCCATGGCATGGATGGGTTCCTGCCGTCACTGCCTTGGAACTGTCCCCAGCCCAGCCCTCATCCTGCTTGAAATTTGAATTTATTCTCTTTTCAAATACTTTGAAAAGCATTGATTGGGTGGCTGGAAGAGGCAGCAGCTCCAGACCACTCAGTGGGGTGTGGTGTGAGCCCCAGGATGCTGCAGGAGCCTTCCCAGCCCCAGGGATTTCTCACCTTGCCCGGAGCCGGGTCCAAGCCTTTGGAAAGTCGGATTTTCCTCAGCAATTCCCGCACGGGCATCTTCACTCTCACACCCATGTAGCGCTTCTGAGGGGGATCAGAGCTAAGTTCAGAGTCTGGAAAAGTCACAACACGATGCTGAAAGTAACACAATTGTCTGGGCTGCTGGGGAAGGGTGGGAGGATGAGGTCAGCCTGGGGAATGGGCTCTGATTCCCACGTTCATCATCATTTGGGGGAAATTTCCACATCTCCTTGCCTGTTCCTTGGCTCTGCTCAATTATTGCTTTAAGGAATTCCTGCCCAGTTTTCCTGCGTGCCACAGAGCGTGGATTTGCTCTGGGGAATGTGTCAGCAGTGTTTAGGTCTCTGCCCCTCTCACACTCCGATTTTCCTGTGTTGTGGTAAATCTGCCTTTGCACTTTCCTATCCTGTGGTTTGTGAAATTGTTATCAGCGCAACAACAAGGAGCAGAATTTGTTCAAAATTAAGATAGGGATGCTCTGTCCAGTGGTTTTCCCCCGTGGGTCTCATTGTGCTTGGAAGTTTTTGTGTGCTTCAAAGCAAAACAATGATTTTCTGCACTGAAATGGGACAGTTATTTGAGAATATACCTCGTTGTCCAAACAGGCTCTCTCTTTGTCAAAACAAGCTGCTCTGTGATTGTTTGTGTTCGGTCTCTTTGCATCTGGTGCCTGCATCCCCAAACTTGAAAGACTTGCCCAGATTAGGAGCTTAAATCCATTGGCTTTTGAAATACCTTTTATGTAACTCTGGCATTCACGTCCCTGCCTTGTGTGTCCCCCTGCCTGGAACAACCTTTATCTAAAATGCACTCAGGAACAAAGATTACCATTAAAAATCACAGATTTCATGCATCAGATCGGGGTTTTCCCAATGAAATACACCATGGAGAAAGCCCCAGCTCCAAGAGTGTGGGAGAGAAAGGAGAAGCTTTCTGCTCCCACTGCAGGAGGAATAAAACCAGCTCTAGTGATCAAACACAAGTCAGGATGAAACAAGACAAGAGCCTGAAATGAAAGAGGTTCGTTGGGCCAGCAGCTCCTGGTGCTGTTAAATAAACCAGGAGGTGCCTGAATCAATATTTGTGACCAAAATCTGCGTGTGGGATCGGTGGAGGGGAAGGAGGGGAGCGCAGGAGATGGGGATGGTGCAGCTCCTGGGATGGCTGCGAGGAGCGATCCTGGCAGGGGAACCAGCCCCACAAGATGTGGTTTCTTGTTGCGTGATTTTGTTTCCTTTCCCCGCTCCAGGCAACGAGAGCTGCCACCCCTCCAGCGGGAGGGAGGCGATGCCGAGCAGCAAATGGTGCCTTTGGAATGGAGATGGGGCTGCTGCTTCGTGCTGAGATTTCTGGCACTTCTCGGTGTTTAACCTATCACTGAATAATCAAAACACTGAGACCTCGAAAAGCAGAGTTTTGTATCTCAGACTGTTCTAGAAATTATTATTTTTTTCCACAGATTGGTGTTTTGACAATGAATTATTTACTGTTTGAAGAGTATTTTAAAGGTTTCTTTGAAAAGCTTTATTTTTCATATTAAAAAAAAAAAAAACAAACTCTTTTTTTCCTTTTAAAAGCCAGTAAGATTGCTAATATGCTGTTATCTGGGAAGAGTTCCCGGTGACAGATCAGATATTTCCTAGGAACTGAAGGGCTCTGCAAAGGCCATGATTCACCAGCCACACTTTGCTGTGACTTTGAAATGTTAATAACTCAGAAGGTCACATCTATTACCCCGCTGTTAGCTCGGAACCAAACTCGCAATTCAGAACGCAAATGAGCAGCAAAGCGCTGGAGACGGACAGAAACGATGGAATATTGGGCATCCTTGGGAAACCAGGGCAATTTCTGACCTCAGCAGCAGGACACAACAAATCCCAGCCCAGCCTGGAATGGGCAGAACTCCTCTGGGATTTTTGAGCTTTGTGCTGCTCAGAGCCCCGGGACACCGGGCTGCATCAGCTGGTGCCCGAAGCACAAAGTAGGAAATGGGAATAAAGATTTTTTTTCTCTTACCAGCAGGAGCAGGCATCCCTGGAGGGTGGCATGGAGGAGGGTGGTAGATCTTGGGACTCGCCACGTTCAGCTCAGTTAATCCAGAGTCTGGCAGGGATGGGCTCTGCTGGAAGCAGCTCTTGGGGCTGGCTGTTTCTCCAGGCAGGGGAGATCCCTGGCCTGGGCTGTAGCCACAGATTTCACTTTCACTCGTGTTTTGGTTGACAAGCAGCTCAGGACTCACGCAGACTGTTTGCAACATCTCCTCTGTGTGTGTGTGCAGGAAAAGATGAAAGAGAAGAGGGGAGGAAAAAGCCCTGCTCAGCTGTGTTAAAAAAAAAAAAAATTAAAAATCAATCCAGTATCACATGGAGACCATGGCAATGCAATTAATCCTCCAAGGTAATTAGCTGAGTCCAGCTTCCCTCTTGTCTTTGGAGCAGCAAGTTGCAGCAGGGGGAGGATGAAACCAGCCTTGGAATCCCAGCAGGCACTGGAAGCAGCTTTTGAGAGTTTCTTGGCTGCAGTTCTGCTCTGCTCTTTATACTCAGGTATGGTTTGGAGGACGGCAGCCTGGGAAGGCTCCACCCTCTTTCCTTACAACCCCGAGCAGCTGATGAGGAAATGAGTTTTCCCAAGAAAAAGCTTAACTTCAAGTAGATTTTTTTTTTTCCCTGCTGTATGAAACAGAAAAAATAAAATCTGATTTACTGGGAAGGGGAAAGCAACTTCTGACTTAGGGTTGTGCAAGTAAGTAAAGTAGCAGGAGATCCTTAATTAAATGTTTTGGGAATTTTCAAAGGTGCTTTTCAGCTGGAATAGGGTGAGTTTTGTTCTCAGCAGCCGGTGCAGTGCTGGGTTTTGGATTTAGCACAATGCTCTTGATCCCAAACTGATGCTGCCCCCAAAAGAAGGAATTTTCCCAGGCAGGAGGTGCAGAAGCAGCCCTGAGGGAGCACGGCCAGGACAGCTGCCCGTGGCCAAAGGGACATCCCATCCTGCAGGAAGATGCACCCAGGATTTAAATTGGGGGATTGAGGCACCAATTTCAGGGCAGCAGCTGGGGGAGACCTGGTGTTTATTGTTTTAATTTTTATTTATTTATCTCTCTCCCCCTTCTCATTTTACTCCATTATTTCATTTATTAAACTGTTCTTACCTCAAGCATTATTTTTTTACCTGCCCACAGCTCTCTCCCCTCCCAACCAAGGTGAGAGGGTGAGCTGGGGACTGTGGGGTTTGTGGAGCCACAGGGGTTAAACCATGACAAATGGGGACACTTCCTATAGGAAATCTATTTCCTTGTCACCAGATCTCAGTGTCAGATCTGAACTCCATTCCATGTCCCTGGGAAATGTATTTCACCCTGTGGGCTGTGCCATTTCAACTGAACAAGCAGATATTTCTCTTAAGTACCTAGATTGGAAAAAGGATTACGATGTTATCAGCTGCATCTGCTTCCCTGGCTGTGTCCTGGAAAGCATTCCAGATTTAATCCCAAGCAATATCACCTTTGCCATCAGCCTGGGCAGAGAGCAGCCAGACTTTCGGGGGCAGATTTCAAAGAAAAACATCAAATTTGTGTTACAATTTGAGCTGGGCAGTGGCTCCTCTCCCTGGCCTGCCCAATCCCACCTCCTGCTTTCCCTGCCCTGGCAGCAGCAGGCAAGGCTCAGGGATGTTGAAAGGATTATTCAGGTATTGATCAAAGGAGATTTGGTGCTTGTAGAACAAGCAGGGAATCAGGAGCTGATCTGCATTGCAGTGGCTCTTCCCTGGCTGCCTGCCCCACAGATTATTGCTGCCTTTAATTAATGGAGCTGGGAACACGATGGATCAGGCTGGAGCCAGGCTTTGTCACATTCATACTTTCTGAAAAATCCTCTTTACCCAGGATTCTTCTGGGAAGCTGAGAAGCCTGAGAAAAAGAAAAACAATATTATCTCATTTGCTTCTCCTGTGTTCTGCTGCTTTGGAATGTGTTTGGGGATTCTTTACCCAACTTGTTTCGTTGGTTTCATGTGAATTTATTTAACTTAATGACCAGTCAGGGTCAAGCTGTGTCGAGGTTCTGGAAAGGAGAAATGAGTTTTGGTTATCATTATTTGTAGCCTTCTGTCTGTATCCTTTCTCTATTCTTTAGTATAGTTTAGAATAGCATAATATAATGTAATATAATGTAATATAATGTAATATAATGTAATATAATGTAATATAATGTAATATAATGTAATATAATGTAATATAATATAATGTAATATAATATAATATAATATAATATAATATAATGTAATGTAATGTAATGTAATGTAATGTAATGTAATGTAATATAATATAATATAATATAATATAATAACCTTCTAAGAACATGGAGTCAGACTCACACATCTCTCCCCTCGTTGGGGCTGCCTGCAAATTCAACAAGGCTTCACGTCCAGGGGCAGCTCTCTGTTATCCCTGTGAAATCCTTGCAGCTCAGGGATTGAAGGCACAGGGAGCAGTGAGTTTATTCCTCAGTTAGTGCAAGGGAAGGGATTTGCCAGATAACCTTTCACTTTTGGACTGTGCTCTGCCTCTCTGACATGGAGACAGCCACAAGGTGCCTGATTCCTTAAGGGCACCTCCTGCTCTCCTTGGGGAAATATTTCCTTCCATTTCACCTGCTTTGCTGCACTGATTCACGAGTCCAGGAGGAGCCAGGATCCAGCCCCTCAGCGCTGTGGATCCCTGTGCTATCCTGTAAATATCCTGTCTCTAGGATGAGGCACCAGTTCAGGAACAGCTCCAGCTCCACCAGTTCAGGAACTCCTCCAATTCGAGGTGGGAGAATTTGGCCTCCTGCAAACAGGAAATTACTGCAGTGACTCACTGCATTTATTGGCCAGTAAATCACATCAGAGATTGCTTCTCTTTCTGTTCTCCTCCAGCCTTTATGTTGGGCAGCTTTATCTTCTTGTTTATAACTTGTGATTACATCCACAGTAAGGCAGGAATTGGCCTGGGTTTGGTACAGGCATTGACCTACATTGGTGAGGAATTGACTTTTCTGTGGCACAGAAATTGCCAAAATGCAACCTTCAGCCATGAGAAGTGGATTTTCAAATCTGGTGAGGAATTGACCTTTCTGTGGCACAGAAATTGCCAAAATGGAATCTTCAGCCATGAGAGGAGAAGTGGATTTTCAAATCTAGCAACAAAACCCCTTGGAATGTGGACACTACAAGGTCTCCAAGGCTTTGTATTTGTTTAACTGGGAATTTTGTGGTTCTGCTTCCAACCTCAACAGGTACCTGACGTTTTAAAAGAATCCTTTGTTGCTGTAATTTCAAAGAGCTCTCATGAGTCTCGTTCTGCAAACAGGCACTGCTGGCTGTGAGCTGTCCACCTCCAGCCCCCTCCCTGGCTGTTCAATAGCAATTTTCAGTTTGGACCCTCTAATAATGCTGCATTCAATCCTCTTTTATCCACCGAGGCAGGGCAGGTTCCAGCTTGCTCAGCAAGCACAGGGAGATCCCAAAAATGACTTTCTAGGATTTGTGGATGCTGCTTCAGTCGGTGCCTCCTGATTCCCACAGGAAATTCCCTATGGACTGAACGATTTCATTTATTACTCAGTGAAACCTGGGCTGGGGAAAGTGATTTTTACACAAGAATGTGGAATAATTTCATTATCTTCCACAGTTTTAGGGATTTCTGTGTTTTTTAACACTCTCTGTGCTTTTATACTAAGAAAGGGAGATAATTTCAAGGGTTGAAGGTGTAAGAAAAGAGGATATGATTGGGTGAGGGTCTTCAGTGGCAATCACCTGGGGCAGGGGTGAGGGTCAGGCTGGGTTTGGGCAGAAACAGAGCTGAGCTTTTAGGAAACACAGATTTGCACTGTACAAAAAAAAAAAGACATTATTTTGGTTCTGGGGGGGATTTTCTTTTTCTCCTTTGTACATTCCTGACATCCCGACGCAGGAATTCAGGTGCCTGCTGTAATAGTCTCAGCAGAAATAACCAGCACCCTCTGAAATTCTTAATGAAAAAATAATAAAAATTAAAAAGCCTGCAAGGAGGTGATTTGTGATGGGCAGCTCTGCAAAACCTCCCTCCACGAGCACGTTCAGGCTGTGCTGCCCATGGGCTGAGCTCCTTTTCTGCCTTTGCATGGAGGGTGAATCCTCTCTCTTCCCTCCTCCCTTGTTCCTACACGTTCCCCTGCACACACCCACTTTAACAGCCTCTGCTGGGGTAGGTGTTTGTCTGTCTCTCCCTCTGGATGCCAGCTCTGATCCCACCTGGCTGAAAAGCCTTTGTTGCAAAAGGTTTCCTTTATTAAAATCCTCTTTTGCATATTTGGGAGGGGGTGGGTTTGATTTGCACCGATGGAGAAAGGCAGGAGGAGGCTTTGCAGAGCCTGACAAACAAAATATCAGCAGAGACTTTAAAGCTCATCTTTGAGGAGAATTGTGACTATCTAAAGGTGAACATAATGCCGTGTAAATATATCCCGAGCTAAGTGGAGGGGAAGCATTTAAAAGGCAGAATGATGGAGATATTTAAAATGAAGAACTAGAGTGGATTTGGGTGGATTTTCCCCTCGCAGCCTCTCCCCTGGGAAGCAGAGCAGGGATGTGGGGGCTCCATTTGCATGGCAAGCGCTGCAATTGAGATGTGACAACTGCGGTGCTGGCGGTGGCGGGATGGGGTTGTGACATCGCTGCTGGGCTTGTCACACGCTTTCGGAGTAAACATCCACCCGATTAATTACCTGATTAATTACCCACGCCGGGACTGGCACGGGGTCACCTGGGGTGGCTGGGAGCAGTGTCCTGAGCTGGGTGATGCTTCACAAAGGAACAAAACCTTCTCTGGGGAGCTGAAAATCCCTGCTGAAGGCAGGAGGGCACAACTGTGATGAATTCCCAGGATCACTGACGTTGGAAAAGCCCTCCGAGGTCACCAAGTCCAAGCTGAGACCCATCCCCACCTTGTCCCCAGCCCAGAGCACTCAGTGCCACCTCCAGCCCTTCCTTGGGCACCTCCAGGAATTTTAAATATCTTCATTATTCAGCCTTTTAAATACTCCCCATCCACTTAGCTCGGGATATATTTACATAGCATTACGTTCACCTTTAGAGATGCACAATTCTCTTCAAAGATGAGCTTTAAAATCTCTCCTGATCTTGTTTGTCACCTCCTCGTGTAGCTCCTTCCAGTGCCTGGCCACCCTTTCCATGGGGAAATTCCTGCTGACGTCCACCCTGACCCTCCCCTGCTGTAATTTGGGGCTGACCCCTCTCCTCCTGTCCCTGGGATAAGATCCCAAATGCTCCCCTCCTGGCAGGAGCAGTGCAGAGCCAGAAGTTCCCTCCTGAGCCTCCGTTTCTCCAATTTGAGCCCAAAGGTCCCTTCCTGAGCCTCATTTTCTCCAAGCTGAGCTCAAAGGTCCCTCC